GGTCCATTTTCGTGGTTCAGTCAAATTCAGGTGCTGAACTATGTCGTCGATATTGCTCTGTTCTTCCTGGAGATATTCCAGAAGAAGAAGATTCTGTTGTAAGCCCGACAGCAGGGTGAGTAGCATGAGCAGCAACCATTCAACACAGTACGGCACCATTGTTGTTGTGATACTGTGTCGCGCATGCGTGTTTAGAGGCGACGCTATGTGCGTGTAAAAAAAAAAAAAATGCAGTCAGAGCTTAAAGATGGAACCGCGAAAACGGCGTTTCAAAATCTTCCCACTCTGAAGGCTTAATAAAAAAAAGATTGTTTACAGACCCCCGAAACGCCGGCTTCGTATGGATGAGAGGCTGGTTTGGTGAAAGATTTGTGAATTTAGGCCAGGGTTTGACTTCGTGTGAATGGGGCCTAAGTGTTTTCAGCTATTTGAGTAAGCACAATCTATTCTTCAGGTTAAGCAAATGTTTGTTTTCATGGTCCAGGTTTTTTTTTTGGATTAACACCTGCATCCTGTTAGCTGATTACTCCACACCTGTACAGAGTTACCGTTTACCTCTGTTTGGAATTTTAACTTGAACAGTTATTGGATACAGAGAAACAGGTTAATAAGGAAACTTAGTAACATAAAAATCAAACTTGACATTGTCAATTTATTGCAGAAGGAATCAGGAAGCAGAGGATATCGGGTTATATTGTAATTTTTGAAACAGATTAGGTTGTATAATAGGATATATTTTTTTTTTTTGTTTTGTTTTTTTTTGTCATGTGGTCCACACTCCATACCAGTTGGTGGCGGTAATGCTCACCTAGCGTTGAACAGTTAAGGCTGTTTTAAGTTTAAGTTTGTCTTGAAACTACTGTGTTTTTTCACACATTCACTTTACAATTGTTCTCAGCTGGGTATGATCTTTTTTTAGGTATCAGGAAATCAGGTTTTTCAATATTTGACATTTTTAATGAAAAAAAGCACTGCCCTGGATAGTCAGCTGGATAGAACTGGGCTACTAGACTTTTTCCTTGCTCATAACAAGGGTAAATGCTAACTTGGGTAATATTTCCCCTGACTGACAGAGTTCAGCTCAGTTACTTAAAAATCAATACCCAATTTTATTGATGGGAAATCTAGTTTCTAGTTTCTTTGTGTAGCATGCGAGTCACAATCAAAAGACAAAAAAAAAAAAAACAAGGTATATAATAAATCATTATAACTGTAAGAATCTGTGTAATCCAATATGTTTAACCTCGACTGTGCCTGACAGCAGACAAGCCCTTTAGAAAATCTATCTTTTCTGATCAGTACAAGAATCCCAAAAAGCAAGACCAAGTCAGACTGGCAACAACACTCTTCAATGCAGAACCTGCTACTGAGGGAAGAAGCTTTCATTTTAGCTGTGTTCAGTATTAGTAAGATGTGAAGAAAACATTGAATTTCTAAAAGCTTACCGAAAGGCTAAACTAAAGGAAACTAAGAGAGAGCTGCTTGTAACTGAAGTTTTGCAGATGGGTCAAGTTTTCTTTTATGAGTGTTTGTAAAGCTGATGAGAATTTTACTTTGGTGATTTTATCATGTGAATCAATTTTGGTTTTAAGGGCAATATATATTCAAGTCGGTTGAAATTTTATTTTTAAATAGGGTTGTCAAAATGAAGTTTGTGAGGGGAAAAAAATCAAAGTAGGGGCAGATGAAATAATAAAAAATAAAACTGATTTACAGTAACAGGTAAAACTAAAATTTGGGTTAATTCATGGCTAGGTGGGGGAGCAGGCACTTTATACATAGGTAGATTTTACTGAATGTCTTTCCTGTGTCTCTCTACCTTTCTTTCTGTCCAGCTAATGAAAGAAAACCACTACTGCCACAAAAACCCTTCAGAAAACAGAAAATTCGGTTTCAAACAGATGTGCAGCACTAAACCTCACTGAAGCCAACTGTCAACATGGCTGCCACAGTATTCCACTACATCAGCGAACCACATGGTTCCCTTGCCCACAGGAGCACAGAACTTGTCCTTTCCCTAAAATAGCACACATCTATATTTTTTGCTTTCATAACAATAGTGTATGACATCAAGTGGAGCAGGGAAGCAAGCTCAGCAGCCACTTTTCACAGTAATTATCGCTCGCTACCACGCTCCATCTGTGGCTTAGCTAGCAACCAGCATGTAGTTCTGCCCCGTCAGAGCCAAACTGATCGCACAACCTCTCTCCAGCTCTCATATATAACCTGCACAGGCTGCGAACCTAATCCCTACTTACATCAGTTACATTAAATTCTTAGGTTACGTGTAATTTATTGAATTTAAATCTGTCACATCGGTCAGCTCACTGGGATGGGGGGGTGGTGGGATGGGTTATAACTTATGCTCCTTGCACACAATGTGCTTATTGTGCATATGCACAGCTTTTAAAAAATGGCTGCAATGATTGTAATGTTAGTAGACCAAAGGGAGCAAGTTTGTCAGGCCCCAGGGAAGCCTGTTAGAATAATAATGATGAAAATACCATCCCCATTTACTCCTTGCAGCACCCAGATTTTTCTAAACTGGATTGTCATCTGCGGTAAATAGCTAAGCCTCACAGCGCACTGAGTCATGATGGTTTATAATCCGTATATGTATCAAATATCCTTTAACTTTCCCCTCTATAAAGAATCCTCAGAGGACACATATTCTGGAAGGATAGAGGAGCAGGGTGTGAGAGAAGCAGGAAGGCATAAGAGCAGCCATATGGAAAAACTGAACTAATCCCAGGATGGCCCTCAGCACCCCTGTATCCAGTGGCTAACAGAGAGAGGCACTACATAAATGTCAACTTTAAGGTCAGGCATGGAAATGAAAAGAAATCAAGTATGAAAACACTTCAAATTGGATTTTCTTTGTCTAATCAAAATCAAACTGTTTTCACAGTTCAAAACTTACATGAAGAACGTCTTATACTCTCAACTCAAAACATTTAAAGGAAAATTACTTTTTGCATTACACTAACAAACAGACATGCAGCAGATACTCTCAGGTACAAATCTCTTCTGAGATTTCCAATCAAGCAACTGTCCCAGAGGTCTCTCGGACACTTTTCTCAACTTGTAGTCTTTGGCAAGACTAAAGCCAATGAAAACAAACTGTAGGTGAGTTAGATCTCTTAAAGGAAGTATAAAAAATGAAAGAAATATAAAGAGAGGCAGAGGATATGTTCAGATAACACACACAAAAAAAACATCCTGAATCAGAACTGTGTTGGAAGTAAGCGTCTGTAAGTGAGCCACTTTAATCACGAGTAGTTTCACACTGAAGAAGCATCTCTCGAGCGATTTGGAAATGTGTACAGCTCATCAGTGCCCCAAAATAGCTAAGCCCATTAATTAAGCTCAGACAATGTTCTCCTGCTGTATCGACTTCTTAATGGACAGAGAGGAACCTTGTTCGTATTCCCATCCAGTCAATGACACTGAGCTCTCCGGGGTTTAGGACAGAGTATTATGTCATCCCATCCTGCCCTTCAGAAGGTGCTTCTGGTCTGTGTTTTGTTCTTCCTCGCCCTTTTTCCAACCCCATTTTGCTCATTAACAATGTAGGAGTGAGATAACAATTTGGAGAAGCTAGATAAGGTTGCTCACAGACCCTAATCCCTGAAACAAGATAAGTGCCAGGGCTGCCAATATAACCTTGTAGCCTACTGCTCTCAAAGGCCGCAGACGTTTAATATAGTAAAAAAAACACATATAGTATACAGACCACCTAACTATATTCAAGAACAGAACTTTAACATGCACAGACAGGTTTTAAACAATTAACCGTCAAACAGATGCTCCCTTTTCGCTGCCCTTTGACAGGTAATTTCACTGACTAGAAAGAGGATTAAGTAAAAGCCTTCAAGTGTTTGAGCTTTGCTTTTGTTCTGTAACTGACAGCTACTGCAGTCTGCATGACAAATCAATCAATGGAAAGTGTTGTAAAAGAAAACAATAGTATTTTAGATTTCTACAAGCAGAGGCAGAATACATTACATTTTTGGAAAGATGTTTGGTGGAAATTAAAAACGCATTTCTGATTATAGAGTGTAACAACTTGCATCTATAAAGATATTCTAAATATAAGTGAAAAAAATGGGTCAAACAAGATTGACAACAATTTGAAAATTTTAATGATGAAATTATCTAAAAATAATTTATATGAGCTTTTTTTTTATATAACTATACAGACATTTTAAGTATATACAAATATATCCATATAAATAGATATTTCAGAATTTCAGTATTTGACCTACATATGTCTGATCAAGGCTGAAGATATAGGTTCAAATTGGTCCAATCTGGTCAGATGTAAGCAGACAAGAAGTTTTTTTTTTTCTTCTTGTTTTTATTAATTTCCTATTTTTTGCTTAAACTTTGATATGCCGATTTCAATCTTTTTTCCTTTTTTTTTGTTGCTTTACAATAAAAAAAGAGAAAACAACGAAAAAAACAAGTATTTCTATTGAAAGAGAGATTTAATTATAGGATTATGAGTCAATCCAAATTTTTTGCAGCAAAGCAAATGCTCCTAAAGTTCCCCTGCTTTTATTTTAGGGCCTCAAAGTACATATTTGGTGATCTCTTTTGGAACATTGAAGATGGTGGAAGTTTTCAAGACTTTAAGAAACCATATTTTGTTTTGTTTCTTTTTTTTTCCCACAATCTGTTACTTTTTATTAAAACGAATCACAGTAAAAATCAGCCAACCCCTATTCAGTTTTGATCCAATAAAGTTAAAATCAATATTTACATATTTTTCCATTTACACTAAATCTACCAGTACGCACTAAACAACCAGTTGGATTAGAGGTGGATTCTACTTTGTAACTTGGAGCCCAAAAGATGCGCGCTGTAGGTTACAGGATGATTTCCATTCATTGGACTTCGGGGTTTCCCGTTCCAACCCCGGCGAAGCTACAAGCGCGAGTAAAACTTTAAGCAGCAGCATAGTCATGTCCGCAGTTTAAGAAATAAGCCCCAAACTTTACCTTGAGCAAATCCTACATCCAGCAGCAGAAAGAGCAGAAGCCAGGAAACCTTCGGCATCTCCGGGGGGAATCTCGGCACTCTTCTCCAGCCTCTGTCAGCCTGTGCGCCGCAGCCCATGATGAGGAGTCAAACTGCGCTCTGAGGCAACTCTGAGGAAATGTCTCTCCAACGCGCTTTTCTCCTTCTGCGCGCTGCGTTTCCGTCCAGGTATCAACCTCCACAACCCAGAGCGCACGGCGTAGCCCTGCAGAAGAAATCCCCTGCGCACTGATTGTTTGTTTTGTTTCCTCACAAACATGTGACAGTTTATAGACTAAGATGTGGGCGCATCGTTCTCCGTTAGAGAGGATGTTGTCTTAAAACCTGACTCCGTTTGATTTTCCTCTTAGTGGTTCACCAGATTTGCTCTGATGTGTGGATCGATGCCTTGAAGGTAAATTCATGCTCCCTCTCCAAATCGAAGTCCACATGCGCTCAGACGAAGCTTTACTGCATGTGCGTCTCACTGACGGGACTGAACCCAGGGAAGAAGCCGTCTCTGCAGGCTACCTTTCTCCTTCAACCAATCCAGGCGCTCCGGCGAGTGGCGGCGCTGTATCAAAACCTGGGCTGGACAGCAGCGAGGAATGGGGGCTGTGTAACAAATGCATGACTAATGCAAGGTTGGGATATTGCAGGAAAGGTCAAAATAAATTGGGGTGTGTAAAGAAGATGGATTTTCCTCAACGAAAAAAAAAATATATTTCTTAATATGCTACTGTAAAAATAATTATTAAAAAAATAATCTCATTATTGTATTGCACAAACATTTGTTTTTGATAGTTTTTGCTAGTAAAATTATAAAAAAAAATTCCCAGAAAACGTGAACGTTATGGGACATGATTACAAAAAACCCTCTAAAACATTATATAGGTATATAAAATCAGCTGGTTTTCCTTAGATAGAAAACTTTGAACCAATCCGACCAATCTGTTCTCAGGAAATACATTGAGATGATATATGTGTGAATTGGTGCAATGCAAATAAACTGAACTGATCTGAATTAAAGTGTAGGTATTAAATGAATGGTTGGGGCTGTTATTGCGTGTTTTAATGGCTTCTGTGAGGGGTGGCATGGAGAGGATAATCCCGTGGCTTTGGATGTTCAAAAGCCTTATATATATATATATATATATATATATATATATATATATATATATATATATATATATATATATATATATATATATATATATTATAATTGGGATCTGTACAAGGCTTGTCAGCAAGGCTTCTTCAGAGACAGAGACATTGTTTACCAATGGGAGGTTTCTTGAACTAGTGACTGTGTTCACACTTCGATGATCTTCTCCTAACTCTCAGGACAGTTTTGCATCACAATACTGTATATCCACATTGATTGTGCACCCATTTTTTTTTTTTTTTTTACTGCAGCTTCTTCTTATTATTATTTCAACAAGCTTGTTTGATAAACTAAATTTTGGGTGTTTATTAGCCAAGTGAAAACATTACAATTGAAAAAATAAAGTCCTGCATGATAGTATGCTCTAAACTAAATTTCTGGTTTTCAAGTACCACCTTTCTGAATTAAATAATGCCAAAAAAAATTCTGTCAATTTAATACCATTTTAATTTACTGTTTAATTTATTTTTAGTGTATGTTTAAAAAAAAGAAACACCATGATTGTTTCCCACAATCATAGTTGTTTTCCACAATCCAGAAACCATCCATCCATCCGTGAGGGGTGCTGGTGCCTATCTCCAGCTGTCTATGGGCGAGAGGCGGGGTTAACCCTGGTCAGGTTGACAGTCCATCGCAGGGTAACACAGAGACAAACAAGACAAACAACCATTCACGTACACATTCACACCTAAGCATAATCGAGCCAATTAACCTACTGTACCAGTCATGTTTTTGAAATGTGGGAGGAAGCCGGAGTACCTGGAGAGAACATTTGCATAGTCAGGAGAACATGCAAACTCCTTGCAGAATGACCCCAGGCCAGGAATTTAACCTGGAACCTTCTTGCTGCAAGACATTTCTGCAAGGCAACAGTGCTACCCACTTCCCCACTAAGCAGCCCTATCCAGGAACCAACAAACTGGAAAACTATTCAGTGCTCCTTTAATCCCTTGTGCTCAAGCATTTGTGAAAGAATCTTGTGAATGCATTCTGGAAAAGGCCTTCTGCCTTAAGCAGCTGCAGAATGTCATGACAAAAACACCCCATAAATTTCCTGATACTGATTTATGGACAAAGTTACTGTACCTGTGCAGTTGGTCTGCCAAATTTTTTTCTCCTAAGCATAGTACAGCAAAAATACAAAGTAAATAAATTGAATTTTGTTTTATCCAATGCATTACTCTATATAAAACATTGTTATTTGATGATTTTTATCCCACCTTTTATTGAGAAGATAAATTCATCTATTCAGTCTGAACACAGCAGAGGAAGCCTCTAAATATCAGACTGGACCTTGCTCTATCCTTTGTTGTGAATAAGTCTAATTGTTATTTAAGAGTGCTAATAGCATGTCACCTTGATATATAAGGTACTCTGCCTTAAAGCTATATATGCATATAAAACTAAGAAAAAAATTGATTTAAACAAGACTTTCTTTTCAGGGAGAAATGTGTCTCAGCTTTCGAATGGAAGGCTGATAGGTTATTACATATGCATGACACAGGTCTGAGTAATGTCCCCGACACTTCGTGATTAATGCGAAACATGAACTCCAGCGCGATCTCTCTACCGATATGAAACTTTTAAAATATGAATCTAATTTTAGGAACCCCCCCACCCTCCATCACAGTTTCTAATGTGCAGTGATGTCAGCAGGCTGCTGTCATCTTGCTGGCATTTCGATTTTGAGTATGGCATGCATGAAATTTTGTATTCTTGATTCAGACTTTCTTAATAAAGACCTCTCTGGCTAATTTTAGTATAAAAAACACACAAAAAAGCCACAACACAAACTCACTGACAAGTTAATAATACAAATTATTTTGTTATGACATCCTACGAGAAGTGCTACAAACAAACAGTTTTAGTTTCAAGTGCTGAAAGCAGGGAAAAAAGCCATGGATGGAGATAAAAGCAATGATGGTCAAACACTCCATTGCATTCACTATAGATTGTTTTGAAAATGCCATCTACTGCTGGAAAGACACATTTAAAAAAATGTTTTTCAGCGAGGTTGTTATTGCATTTGCATTGGCTATTTGCACACCTGATGCTCTTTTTTTTGTTCTGTTGTTCCTTTCTTTCTCTCTCTCTCTATGCAGGTGTAGAATCAGAATCTTTGAACGTTATCTTTTATTATCTTTATCCTTCTTTATATTCTTATCTTCATCTCTCCCCTCTAACTTTAGGCTTTTCCTCACTTCTTTTCTGTTTTCTCTTTTTTCCCTTTCACTTTCGTCTCTATTTTAAGTAACTTCTAATAAATTTTCTTTACAGTACAGTATCTGCATATAGTGGTATGTCACAGAGAAAACTGTAAAACTCTATTTGTAACAGTAAATCTGTTCGGCTTCTCATTGACACTAAGAAAACAATTATGAATGCAATACCACTGGACAGCAAACTGGACAAGTTGAAAACAGGAATAGTGTTTTCTTTAAGTCTTAATCCTGTTGGCTCACCCAGCAAATCTACCCCCTTGTTGTGAAATTCAGAATAAAAGGAGTTAGCTGTGTTATTTAAAGCTTGTCTTTTTGGCACCAAATAAGTAGCATCCATATATAAAACTTACAATTATATAATAAAAGACTATGAAATCACATTTACAATGTTATGAAAGTGTCTTACTCAACAGTCACACACATTTGGCTCAAAAACCATAAATAACAATATATATCAAGTCAATACTTACAGAAGTATCACAATCTTGCAGCTGATGGCTGACTTAATTGCTCATTTCATTTACCTGGCTAACTCCGTCCGGTTTCTCATTACTGCTCATCTGATCCACCTGCTACTATCTCTATTTAAAGGGGAACACAGGTTGTTTTTTTTTACATTGGGCCCTTGATTTTACGCTATTCTATCATGTTCTAGTCACCCATATTAGTTTTGTGTAATTTGGAGCTGTTCTGAAGATATTTGGTTTTGCTATATCCAAGTAACGTCTTCCTATGGGCAACAACTTGAAGGCACAAACTAAACTGTTCATAATTTATTCTTTATGGTAGGCCAGCATTCATAACATAAAGACGAATCCCTGTCCCCGAGACATCCGCGGTTATAATTTTTATATTAATATATTTTTAAAAGAAAGCGGAGTGTGTATGATGTCATCCGCGTGCGCCGCACTGGAGTTGTGACAGGAAGCCCGGGCCACAGGTGTCTACGCTAGCTAAGTGCACTCAGTAAGTTTGCAGAAGGAGACGTGAGAATCTACCATCATCTGTGGTAGTAGCACTAGATATCTTCCAGGCATGTAAGTAAAACTAGCTGCAGTTCAGCTAGCTGCAGTTCAGCGGACAGGATGAATGAATGGTAGCCGGCGCGCGCGGATGACGTCATACACACTCCGATTTGTTTTTAAAAAATATAAATATAAAAAAGTCTTTAAAAGTAAGTCTTTACCATTCCTTTTTATTCTCCCCTCAGTCTTTCATTTTCACTGACATCAGAGCTGATATTGACTCTGGTAAAAAAAAAAAAAAAAAACTCATCTGTTCGTTCCTCTCAGGTTTAACACCTTTCTCCAAATACTGGACCAGTTCTATGATTTTTCTGTTAGAGAAGAATGTGGCTAATAACACAGGGAAGAGAAAGACTTTTAGTAAAACATTATTGTGAGGTTTGAACAATTAACCAAAAAAACAACAGATAAAAAAACAAAAAACATTATGCAGTAAAAGAAAGATGGGCTGACATTTTAGATCTTGTTTTTTTTTTCATAAAATCTACAACAAAATGAAATACTTCCAGTACATTTAACTCACTTTGTTTGGTATTAGTCAACATTGAAGACCAGTATCTCAATTCTAGGTTCATCTCCTTCCCTGCAGGTTATGCTGAGGTGCAGCCTTGTCAAAGTTTGTCCTACCTCATGGCAGCTACACAAGTCTTGGAACATTCAGCGCTGATCCCAATCCCCTTGTATGATGAAGGGACCTCATATGTCCTGGTTAGGGCCTCCTCATCGCTGAATGGAGTGTAATGTCAATCATTCTTCTTCAAAGACGAGTGCAAGGAAAAAGACTGACCTCTGTAAAGCAGCAACATTCTCTCACTCTTTCAGTGAAACAAGTGAAGCTTTCAGATATAAGATGGAATTGCTGTTTTTATTGTTATTATTGTTGGTTTTGTTTCATTTTATGATTTGTGCACTCAAACCCACTTGTAGGTTTTACACTTTGTCATATTAGAACCTCCGTCTTTGTGGGTTTTTTTCCTAAACAAATAGGTCATCATTATGATCAGGAGAAAAAAAAATGAATACACGGCTCTAAAACTTTAAAAGACCTCCTTGTGTTTAGTTTGTTTTTTTGTTAAACTCGACTACCATGCCCCTGCTGAAGAAAACCAAAATCACAGCATGATTTTATGTCAGACTCAT